CTCTTGAAAACCACAACTAAAGATTGTCCTACTTTTAAAAGTTGTCTGCCACAGAGGAATTGTAAGAAACGGTCTCCCTCTGCTGGCAGCACTCTGTAACTACAAGGCCAAAAATTACCGATAATCTGATGTTCCACCTGTAGGCCTTTTTAGTTGTCCTTTGAGAATTTCATTAACTTTGCTGTTCCAAGACACAGGAGAATTCACTTCAAAAAATGAACTCAGAGGCTCCAGAGAGGGCTCACCTGGTAATGAACTTGCTGTGTAAATGTAAAAATGGAATTCGGATCCCAGCACCAAATAAAGACACACCTGTAATCCCTGAACGGGCGAGAGATGGAGACGGCATCCTCAGGGAGCTGAATCCTGCAGCTAAGGTTTAAAGTGCCTCGATATATATCGTGGAGAATGACAAGGGAGACACATGCTATGCAATCTCTGACCTCCACACACATGTACACATGTGAAAAGGCGCACACAAACACACTCGCGCGCACACACTTTAAAACAGATTCATGCTAGTTCCAGGACAGGCTCCAAAAGCTACAAAGAAACCCTGTCTCGAAAAACAAAACAAAGCAATAAATCAGATTCACGGAGGACTCTATCACATATAAATACAGTCCCCAGAGAAGGGCAAGATGACATCCTTTCTTGAAGATGGTCTCACAGTGAGACCCTGTTCATGGGGGCGGGGCGGGGTGGGGCGGGGAGACATGAATGGGACAGGACTGGAATCAGAAACATCTAGGAAGTCTTCAGTGTACAAGTGGAGGCCGAGAGCAGAAGGTTCTAGGTAAGGGCTTGGAGCGAGGACAGACCTGGAGTCAACAATACAGGAAACTGTGAAATTAGGGAATTGGTAAACAGGTCACTCGACTAGGAGATAACAGCTAGTAACATTTTACCAACTTGGTTACAATTATAATCCCTAAGATTTGTCACAACAAGGAGCTGTTATTCTACTAAGACTAGTGACTCCCCAAAACCATGAGGGCAAAAACACACATTCCAAGCCAGCTAGCTTGGCTACAGCAGCTGAAGGGTGCCCTGTGGAGCAGCGTGTTTTTTATTTATTTTTTTATTTTTTATTTTTTGGTTTTTCAAGACAGGGTTTCTCTGTAGCTTCGGAGCCTGTCCCGGAACTAGCTCTTTGTAGACCAGGCTGGCCTCGAACTCACAGAGATCCGCCTGCCTCTGCCTCCCAAGTGCTGGGATTAAAGACGTGCACCACCACCGCCCAGCGAGCAGCGTGTTTTTAATAGCGCAAAGGACACAGAGCCTGTCCCTGACGTGAAAACACAGGGTGCTTGCTCCCCACCCTCTGTATTTGGGAAAAAGGATCAGAGAAAAGAGAACTGTAAATCTTCCTCAGACTGGCAAGCTGCCCCCTCCCCAGTCATAACCCTTAGAATTTTTACAGTGAGTCAGATATTGGTTGGGAGTCTCCAGTGTAATAAGGTGTAGTACTAAACCTAGGCTTCCTTCTCATCACTAGGGAGGTAGAGGCAGGCAGATCTCTGTGAGTTTGAGACCAGCCTGGTCTATAGATCGAGTTCTAGGACAACCAGAGCTATACAGAAAAACCCTGTCTCAAAAAAATCCAAACCAACCAACCAACCAATCAAACAAACAAACAACCAACCTAGGCTTCAGATATCTTAGGTAAGTGCTTGACCACTGAGTTATGTCCTTAGCCCTCAGTGGAGTGGCTTGATACAGCTTTGAAGTCGCTATGATTATTTCTATACTTAGGGAAATTGAGGCACAGAAACTTTATATAAGTTTCATAAGATCACAGGATTTGTTCAAACTCCAAGTGTTGGTAGAAGTTCACCTTTTTTTGGTGTTATTATTTTGTTACAGTAGGGCATGTATGCCTGCAAGCCAGAAAAGGTCACCAACATTCATTATAGATGGTTGTGAGCCACCATGTTGTTGCTGGGAATTGAACTCAGGACCTCTGAAAGAACAGCAGTCAATGCTCTTAACCACTGAACCAACTCTCCAGCTCTTATTTTTTTGTTTTGTTTTGTTTTTTGAGACAGGGTTTCTCTGTGTAGCCTTGCTGTCCTGGCATTTGCTCTGTAGACCAGGCTGGCCTCGAACTCACAGAGACCCAGCTGCCTCTGCCTCCCAAATGCTGGGATTAAAGGCGTGTGCCACCACCATCTAGTAGAAGCACGGTTTTTGAGTGGGATGCTATGGACAGAACTCAGAGTATTTGTGCATGAGTATGCTAAGCAAGGACTCCACTCTGAGGCTGGATAAATGGCTCAATATTTAAGAGCACTTACTGCTCTTGAGGAGGACCTGGGTTCAGTTCTTAACACCCACACAGTAGCTCAAAAGAATTCATTAACTCCAGATTTAGGGGATCTGGCCTCCACATGATCTGTAGGTATGCCCGGCAAAACATCCATATAAACCTTTTTTTTAAAAAAAAATCTAGCCGGGCGGTGGTGGCGCACGCCTTTAATCCCAGCACTCGGGAGGCAGAGGCAGGTGGATCTCTGAGTTCGAGGCCAGCCTGGTCTACAGAGCTAGTTCCAGGACAGGCTCCAAAGCCGCAGAGAGAAACCCTGTCTCGAAAAACCAAAAAAAAAAAAAAAAAAAAAACCAAAAAAAAAAAAAAAAGCACTGTCTGCTCTTCCAGAGGTCCTGAGTTCAGTTCCCAGCAACCACATGGTGGCTCACAACCATCTGTAAAGAGATCTGGCGCCCTCCTCTGGCGTGTGGGTATAAATGGAGGCAGAAAGTTGTATACATAATAAATAAATCTTAAAAAAAAAAAAGACCCAGAAGAACTTCAGTGGCAGGGAATTCTGTTTGAGTTTGGATGCAATATTATGAACTTTTTCTTTTCTTTAAGATTCATTTATTTATTATGTATACAACATTCTGCCTCCATGTGTCCCTGCAGGCCAGAAGAGGGCGCCAGATCTCATTACAGATGGTTGTGAGCCACCATATGGTTGCTGGGAATTGAACTCAGGACCTCTGGAAGAGCAGCCAGTGCTCTTAACTGCTGAGCCATCGTTCCAGCCCTGAATTTTTTTCTTGAAACATGGTCTTCCTATGTTCTCCAGACTGACCTGGCATTCACAGAGATCTGCCTGCTTCTACCGCCTGAGTTGTTTGATTAAAGGCCTGGTCTAACTAACCCCCCCCCCCGCCTTGAATTTATTTATCTGACACATTAAATTATATGAAGCAAAATATATGCAACTGCCGAAAAAGAACGATATCCTCATATTATGAAACACACAGCTGGTAGCCAAAAAAATAACAAATTATAGACTGGAGCCCAGGACTTAATGCAAGAAAAAAAATACCCCGTACAGAAAAACGTCAGGCTTCTAACCAAACAGTACTTCCCATGCGTCTCTCTGCCCCTCAGCTTCTTCCAAGCTTCTTCCACATTCTGATGTGCGGGATATGGGTCCGTGCAGCCTTTAACTCGAGCTGTTGCTCTGGGGTCATCATCCGGAACTCTTCCAGGCCTGCTACTAAATGGCCGAATTTTCACCGCCTTCAGCCATCATTATCTCAATCTTTTCTACTTGCTGCTTTTTTATTTTTCCTTTAATCAATCACTTCACCACGCTGGTCTGTCTTGATCAACTTCAGTTGCGGATTTGCCAGGGTCTTTAGAGCCTAACTAAAAATTTTAACACTGTGCACCACGCACATGCTTGGTGACTACAGCGGCCAGAAGAGGGCCTCTGGTGCCCCAGAACTGGTTATGAACTGACCCTGGGTCCTCCGGAGTCCAGTCCCTAGAATACTGGGTTTTTTTGTTTGTTTGTTTGTTTTAAGTTTTTCGAGACAGGGTTTCTCTGTAGCTTTGGAGCCTGTCCTGGAACTAGCTCTTGTAGACCAGGCTGGCCTCTAACTCACAGAAATCCTCTGCCTCCCGAGTGCTGGGATTAAAGGCGTGCCCCACTACCGCCCGGCATTGTTTGTTTGTTTTTTAATAATTTTACTTGATGTGCATTGGTGTTTTGCCTGGATAAATGTCTGGGTGATGGCATCAGTTCTTGGAATTATAAACGGTTGTGAGTTGCCATGTGGGTACTGGGAAATGAACCTGGATCCTCTGTATGAGCAGTCATTGCTCTTAACCGCTGAGCCACGTCTCCAGCCCTAGAAACAATACAGTGTTTTATTTATTTGTTTGTTTGTTTTGTTTTTTCATGATAGGATTTCTCTGTGTCACTCTGGTTGTCCTGGAACTCACTTAGTAGAGCAGGCTGGACTCGAACTCACAGAGATCCACCTGCCTCTGTTTCCCAAATGCTGGGATTAAAGATGCGCCACACCACAGCCCGACTAATCCAAAGTTATCTTTATAGGTGATATTTTATTTTATTTATTATTATTATTATTATTATTATTATTTTTTGGTTTTTTTCGAGACAGTGTTTCTCTGTGGTTTTGGAGCCTGTCCTGGAACTAGCTCTTGTAGACCAGGCTGGTCTCGAACTCACAGAGATCCACCTGCCTCTGCCTCCCGAGTGCTGGGATTAAAGGCGTGCGCCACCACCGCCCGGCTATAGGTGATATTTTAAATCCTTTGTTGAAGTACAGCAATGTTTTCAGAATGGTGTAGAACAAAAGACATAACCTGTAGCTTACACAAATTTATGGACTCGCTCTTTTTTTTCCTTTGAGATTAAAATTTTGGAGGGAAAAAGATGTTTTTTTCGATAGTTGCCTGATCTTAGAGAAGGCAGTTCCAAAGTACACAGTTCTCGAACTCAAGCACTTCACTTGAACTCTAATCCCGTAAACCAGCCTGAGCGTTGACCTCAAGAAAGATGGACGCCCTCGCCCTTCGCCGCCCTCTTCCACGATGGCGGACCAGGTTCGCCGAGGACTTGGCAGGCAACCTCTTCCGGGCTGGGCAAGGGGGCGTGGTCCATTGAGGAAAGCCCTGCGTGCCTCCGCCCGCGACCCAGGCGCGCTGCAAGGCGCAGGCGCGGGGAGGGGTTGGGGGGAGGAGGGAAAGCGGCGAGTAAGATGGAAGATGAGGAGGTCGCTGAGAGCTGGGAGGAGGCGGCAGACAGCGGGGTAAGGAGGAGCTGTCGCCCCGTGGCAGGGCCGGGCGGACCCGGCGTGAGGGAAGCCTCCGGTGAGCGGGTCTGGGGAGAGTTTTTCCCCAGGAAGGGTCTCACATACCGGGCCGGAGGAAGAAGAGAGGCTCCCGGTCCCGGAGCGCCGTGAAGGCCTCTTAAAGGGGCCGCGTTCCATTTCTCCCTCTACCTTTGCGGGGTGCCTCTCCGTCCAGCGGTGTGCGCGTTGCTTAGGGCGCCCCACCCTCTACCCCGGGCCACTCTCTTTGGTCCCCGCACCCCAGAAACCATTTTAAAGTTCGTGTTCTCTGTCTGCTGAAGGAGGGTCTCGGGCGGCGTGCCTGACTCTGAGGAAGAGCGGGAGGAGGCCCCAGACAGCGGGGAGCAAGCAACCATGTGTCCTCTGGGACCACTAGGCGCTGAACCGAAATCCCCCGCCGCTATCTGCCTTCCGCCTCCGTGGGCGAGCCTGGATTTTTTTCTTTTTCTTTTTTTTCCTCTCAGTTTTACTCCGAGAGCCCGAGGCAGTTGGTTTCCTGGGGACCTCAGCAGAGCTCCCCTAAACTCAGCTAGCATCCGCTCTTTCCCGACACCCACCCCAAAGATCTGCGTAATGGGGAGGATCTCGGAGTAGGTTCGCCTGGGTGGAGGAAAGGGAGGAAGGGTGTGATTTGTAAGATAGCCCCATGCCTGCGAGGAGAAGGGGAAGGTTACTGATCGGAATGATTGGGAGTTTTTGCTTGCCTCCAAAAGTTACAGGGGGAAAAAAATTAGCTCAAGTAGGAACTCATTTACTAGGTTGGTGATGAATGTGGTAATTTCAGAGTTTGAGGTTTGACGGTAATCCTCCTGGAGACGGAAACGTCTCTCTGGTGGGTGACCATGTGTCCGCGCCTGTGCCGTGCTAGGCTCCGGTGACATGCATCGCAAAAGCTTGTGTTTGAGGAGTCGTACACGCCAGGGTAGAAAGAAGCTGGGTCTGTCTGAGCCTGGCGCTTCGGATCAGTGCAGCAGCGGGTGTATCTTCACAGGAATGTTGAAACTTGGCTTCGAAGTTTTTTCCGCTGGTTCAGCATTTCTTGAAAGATTGGTGATGTTTCCCCACTTAACATAATCGAGTATTTGAAGGAGTGCGTGGTTCAGAGATTGTTTAATAGTTTTAAGATACCCTTCCAGCTTGAATCAAAAAAGCTACAGGGTTTTTGTTTTTTGGCTGTAGCCCTGGCTGCCCTGGAACTCACCATATAGACCAGGCTGTCCTTGAATTCACAAAGGTCTGCCTGCTTCTGCCTCCCCGAGTGCTGAGATTAAAGATGTGTGCCTCCACACCCAGCAAGTTAAAGGGTTTTATAGAGAGCAACAGGTTGTCATTTGGATATTTACTCATTCCACAAATATTTTTGAGTGTGTGCTATATGTTAGGAAGTGTGCACAGTAGTGACTTGGCCAGAAGATGCCCAGTTTCCGGTAGAGGCATTTATGGACTGCTGCTAGGGGTGAGTCACTCAGACACCCTCGTGTCACCCCTGCATAAAAAAATAAAAGAAAAAGAAAAACCTTGGTTTTTTTTCTAATTACATTTGTTTGTTTGTTTGAGACAGGGTTTTAAAACCCTGGTCTTCACTCGGGAGGCAGAGGCAGGCGGATTTCTGTGAGTTCGAGACCAGCCTGGTCTACAAGAGCTAGTTCCAGGACAGGCTCCAAAACCACAGAGAAACCCTGTCTCGAAAAAAGCAAAAAAATAAAATAAAATAAAAAAAAATAAAACCCTGGTCTTTGCAGGTTTCATGTAGCCCTGACTATTGTGAAACTTGCTCTGTAGACTATACTAACCTGGAACTCAGAGATCCATCCGCTTTGGCTTCCCAAGTGCTGTGATTAAAGGCATGCGGCATGATTATATGTATCTTTTTATTTAGTTTCGAAATAAATTGCCTGGAAACTGCTCTGCTTTTCTAGACAGGAAATTGAGGTTTGGGGATTTGACTCCAAGACCAATTTTAAAACGGACTTCCTTTGCTACCATTTTGCTACCTTTTTACCTTGAAAAGACTTGAGTTTGTCTTTATCTGTTTCTTTTATTTATTTCTTTTTATTTTTCCATGTTGTTCATCAGATCCCCTGGCTACATATATGCTGAACACAGACTCTTGAGTTGCTCCCCTGTCCTGGGCTTTTTGTTTTGTTTTTAAGGCGGGGTCTCACTGTGTAGTCCTGCCTGGCCTGGAACTTACTCTGTAGACCAGGCTGATCTGCCTGCCCTGCTTTGACTTCCCGAGAGGAGTGCTGGGATCCAGGTGTGTGCCACTCCTAGCGTTCTTCTTTTTCAGTTGAGAAAGTGAGCTATGCATGCTGTGCTCAGGAGTGTGTAGGTGCGGGAAGATGCCAGATGTCGTCGGGTCCCCTGGCCATTGTGAGCCACTTGATGGGGAGTGCTGGGGGTGAAACTCCAGTCTTCTGCAAGAGCAGCAAGCACTCCCTAAGCCCGGGGAGCGGCTCTCCAGCCACCGGCTTTCATTTTTAATGTTTGCTTTGTTTTTGAGACAGTGTCTTAGTTACTGTCCTTTCATTGTGAAGTGATACACCGTGAGGAAGGCAACTCTTAATTAAAGTTTCAGAGGGTTCTTGACCATCATGGCAGGGGGTGTATGGCAGGCAGGCTTGGTGCTGGACCTAAGAGCTTAACGTTCTGATCCTGAGGCACCTGGCAGAGAACAGGACACTGACTCAAAGGCCAGACCCCCTAGTCCTTCCCAAACAGTTTCATAGACTGGGGCCAATTATTCAAACCTAGGAGTCTAGGGGGCCATTCTCATTCAAACTGCCACATAAGGTTTCAGTGTGTAGTTCTGACTGTCCTGGAATCCACTGCCTAGATCTGGTTATCCTTAAACTCTCAGAGATCCACCTGTCTTTGCCTCCCAAGTGCCAGGCTTCAGGTGTTCATTTGAATGTTTTTGTTTTGTCTGCAAGCGTCAGCCTTTCACACTGTAGCTCAGGCTGGCTCAAATGCAAAGGAATAGTCCCAACTCAGCCTTCTGTATTTCTAAAGGCTGGATTACAGGCGTGGGCTACCCCACCTGGCCTCTGAAGTCGGTCATGAATTTGATTCCCTTAATGTGCACCTTTGGAGGAGGAGGCTGAGGAGGAGTGAAGCATGTCCACATCACCACATCCAGTGGACTCTCCATAGTTTTCAGATGCAGGCAGTTGCTGGCATAAAAATGCTTAGTTGCAGGTTACCTGGTCTCCCTACTGGTAATGAGTTTTGAATATGCCCAGTCTTCGAAAACGAAAAAAGCAAAACAAACAAGTAGAAGAAAACTTGGGTGGAAGCGGAGAGAAGATTATCAAATGGGGGGCGGGGCTGGAGAGATGGCTCAGAGGTTAAGAGCACTGGCTGCTCTTGTAGAGGTCCTGAGTTTAATTCCCAGCAACCACATGGTGGCTCACAACCATCTGTAATGAGATCTGGTGCCCTCCTCTGGCGTGCGGGCACACATGGAGGCAGAATGTTGTATACATAATAAATAAATAAATCTTTTAAAAAATTATCAAATGGGGGGCTGGAGAGATGGCTCAGAGGTTAAGAGCACTGACTGCTCTTCCAGAGGTCCTGAGTTCAATTCCCAGCAACCACATGGTGGCTCACAGCCATCTACAGTGAGACCTGGCGCCCCCTTCTGGCATGCGGGCACACATGGAAGGAATGTTGTACACATAATAAGTAAATAAATCTTTAAAAAAAATTATCAAATGGGAGTTGGCTGATTGTAAAATTGAATGACCAGACTCCGTGGATCCAGAAGCGCCGTTATCCTTGGGATCGCTGCCTTCTAACTCTACGAAGTTGGGTCATGTCAGAATGTCTTTCCATGTCAGGATCTGAAGTCATTTTTTTCCCTTCTTGAGTGTCTTTTCCCCAGTATAGAGTGGTCGTTCCACTGAGGAAGGGTCAGCCTGAATTGCCTTGGGTATTCTGTAAACAAGCTGCTGCTCGTCTGTGGGTGCTTCCCTTCTGTGCAGTTGCTCCTTTGGGTGTTTCTTCAGAAGGATCACAGCCACACGCTAAAGACAGTTCAGAGAGTGTAACGTGCCTTTCCCCATAGAAATGCTTCTTTAAAAACATTCCCGGTGGGGAGGTGAAATGGAGAAGCGAGTCACTGTTGGTTCAGACCCTGTTGATATAGGGAGTTCCCTGAGGATAACCGGGCCTTTCCCACGCTAAGCACAGGCACTGCCCCTGCCATATACCTTCTCCCCTGCTTCAAATTTTGAATTGAGTCCTCTATCTTCAGCAAAACTCAAATGGCAATGAGAGTGGTTTGTAATTGGAAGGCATCTTCCTGCTCCAGAAACTAGATCAGCAATTGTTCTTCTAGACAGTGTCTCTCCCCCACTGTCCTGAAACTCACTATGTAGATCGGGCTGATTTCGAACTCACAAAGATCCACCTGCCTCTGCTGAGATTAAAGGCATGCACCATCATGCCTAGCCTCGTTTCTGATGGTTTGAAACTAGTTTATATACACCAATTGTTTAAACAAAAGAAATCTATAAAACATGGCCAAACTAATCTTGTTGGTGATGAGCCCTTCAGCTAGAATAAGGTATAGAATAAGGATAGATGAAGTTAGGTTTGTAGTTATAAAGTATTGTCAGCCTCTCATTTCCTTATGTCCCTAAGATTTCCTTTGTATTTTTTTCTTTCTCAAATTAAGCAGCTAATGGGAAGAAAATGTATCTTTTTTTCATACTTATTTATTATGGGGGTTGGGCTTGTATGTGGAGGTCAGAAAACGGCTTGCAGGAGTTGGTTCCCCTTCCACCATGTGGCTTCCCAGGGCTGAACTCAGGTATTGAGTGCCTTTACCACTGTACAGTCTTCTTTTTTAAAAGTAGGGTCTTTGTGGCGCCCTTAAACTTAAGGTCTTCCTGCCGCTAGGATTATAAATATGTACCTCCACTCAAGCTCTTCCACCCCCTTTTAATTGGCTG